GGGCTGGGCCGGATGGGAGGGGGTTACACGGACGACGAGGAGGAGGAAGCGGAAGGGGAGGGCGGGGATGGGGGCAGCAACGGGTTCTTCAGCAAGGAGGTCGACGCCGGCTCGGACCCGATCGCGGCGGTGGTCTACTCGGTCACGCCGCCGACCAACGCGGAGCGCCAGGGCTGGGAGCACGCCCACAACGAAGTGGATGGGAGGTGTGTGTTTGTGTGTGTTCTTTGTTTTTGCATCGACCGCGCCAACCGGCCCTGACCAATGAAAATACGTCAGTCTTACAATAGTGCAGTTGAACACACAAAAACACTTGTAAATGCCATTATACTGGGACCCCGTGAGGGGGCGGCATGGGGGAGACTAAATCTAGTATCCGGATGTGTGCGTGTGTTTTTCCTTGTACATGATCGGAGTGTTTGTTGGTGTTGTGAAGAGTGGTGGCCTCGCAAGTGCAGAGTTTGCTGCCTGTGGGTGGGTCCCAAGGCAGCAGCGTCTTCCAGAATATGTGCATGTATGTTGAGTATGTATTGTATGCACGTGTGTTTGTGAATATGTGTGCATGCATGTGTGTACCGTATATATGTGTACCATGGTTGTGCATCGGTGTGTGATTGGTTGTTTTTTCAGGCGAATGTATGCATGCGTGTCGTACGAGTGAGTGTATGTGCGTCTCGTGTCTTCGTTTCCCCCAGAAAGCTTTCCCCGCAGGGGTGGCCGAAGACGACACGTCTGCATGTAGATATCCCTGAAGTAGTTTTTTCGCGTCAATGGCGTGACACACCTCCGAAAAGCACGATAACCCGCGCAAACTTTTTCCCCGCGGCCCTTGACGAAGGGAGCGCGGGAGAGGCCGGCTTGAGCGCGCCCCGGGGTCGGTTTCTTGGTACATGTAGGATATTTAGCCGCCTTTTCTAAGTCCCCCCCGTCTGCATATCTTGCGCTGTTTTTTTTTTTTTTTTTCGAGGCGCGTTGGCGCAAAGTCTCGCGCTGCTGTTTCACTGATAATCATTCTTGACCGCATCTTCGCTACCCTACCTCTCTTGCTTCTTGCGTGTCTCGGACGTTTGCTGGCCCAGAAATAGGCTGCCGATAGGGCAGCGGCGGGTGTGCCTCGTGATGTCTCGGAGGTCGGCCGAGTCTCACCTGAAGATCTTGAAGATGGGCGGCGCGAAGGATAGGCGGTCGTGGGCCGACGTCAAGGGCAAGGTGCGCAGGGGAGGGAGGTAGCCATCTCATTGTTGTTGTTGCTGGGGTTGTTGTTGTTGTTGTTGTTGTGAAATTCGACATATGCGGCAGCCCCCGCCAGAACCGCCCAATGCTAGCACGACATACGCCTCTCTCGATTGGAAACCCGTTCCCAATTTTCCATGCGTAATACCTTTTTCGGGTAAGTTAGCCTGTGACCACGGGAATCGACCGCGTCAAGTGTTTGACTAGTACGGACAGAAGAAGTTACTGGGTGGTAAGAGAACGGAACTGTTTTTTGTGAGAAGACAACAACAACAAGTAGCAGCGCGCGAAACAAGGAAGCCACGAATCGTTAGTGAGTGACGAGGAAGCGGGCGAAAATCGTTCATGCAGCACGCCCTACACCCCCACCCATCCCTACAGGAGTTTGTCAAACACAAGAACCCGCGCTCTATCCCCAACACAACACACAGACACTTCCGCCATGTTCATTGGCCAGCCTGTTAACGCATTCGATGCTCCTATCAGACACGCGCAAAAGAAAACGATTTACAAACGCCCTCTCCCCCGTGCACCATACGACTCGCGAATTGTTAACGCATTCGATGCTCCTATCAGACACGCGCCAAAGAAAACGATTTACAATCGCCCTCTCCCCCGTGCACCATACGACTCGCGAATTGGCTGAGAATGCGACACACGACGACATGCAACACCAACGCCGCCTCCTCCACAGATTTCCAGTGAGGATGTACCAGGCGTTGGTCATGTGGAGACGGTGGACGTTCCCCTGACTAAGACCAACATGAAGCTCTTCCGAGTGCTGCTGGAGGAGAGGGCCGGCTGCGCCTACGCGGTTACGGACGCGCCCATGGTGCAGCTCGAGATGTCGGGAGAGAGGCAAGTGAAGGCTTGGCGGGTGGCGTGCGACTTGCCAACCACGACGCCGAACCAGCACTACACACTCCACCGACGTATGCCATCGCATACTTGTACTATACTGCAATCTTTGTGAATGGCTGGCTTGCCCCCTCTAAGCGATTGAGTTGGGTGGTTGGGTGAGTTAATGAGTGTTTGACGGCGGGGGAGTGAGGTAGGCTGAGCGAGGGAGTGGATTTTCGCGTGGGTGTGCGAGTCAGGGGCTGCGCCATTGATTGATTATATGAGGGAGGGGGTGATCAGGCATCCTGGTTTTGTTAGTCAAGTGGGTGGGTTAGTTAACTCGTGAAGTAACTTGGGTGCGTGAGTGAGGAAGTCCGTGAGTGGGGGAGTGAGTTCTTGGCGAGTGAGATAGTGGGTGATCTGGGCCAGTTATTCAGCTTGTGGTTGAGAGGGAGTCAGTTGCTGGGTGGGTTGGTGATCTGAGTGAGTTGAGTGCGTCAGTGATGGAGTCATTCAGTGATTGGGTGAGGGAAGTTCTGGTTGAGTGAGTATGTGAGTGAAGGAGTGGGTGATCGGGCGGGTCGGGGAGTGAGCATGTAAGGGAGTGAGTGGGCGGGTAAGTTGGTGAAGTGAGTAGGGAGTGAATACTGTTTGTCCTGCCTGCTCCTTTATAGTTTGTTGTTTCCAAGCGCGGCGGCGGCGTTTCGGCGGACCGACACCACGCGTCCCGCCTACTATGCTTCCCGTGTGTGCATTGATCCGATATAGAAGTATGTATCAATCGTGATTTCCTCTCTCGCCTGTTCTTGTTTTCTGCTGCCACAGAGAGGCGACGAAGGAAGCGCTCCACCAGGTGTTCGGTGTAACCTCGCCGTTCGAAGGGGGTCGTGTCGGCGCCCCGAACCAGGTGCTTGCTCAGCCGTGATTGCTGCTGTGCAGTTGCTGCTGCTGTGCTGTTGCCGGGACTGTGCTGTGGCTGCTGCTGTCCTGTTGCTCTGTCGTTGCCGCTGCTGTGATATTGATGTTGTTGTGCTATTGCTGTTGCTGCTGCTGTCCTGTTACTGCTGCTGCGCTTCCGCGATGCATGCTCGTTATTTCATGCACACTGGGCAGTCTGTATTCACTCATGGTATGTCGCGTTCCGGCCAAGCACGCAACATTCCTCCCCCTCCACCGCTTTCAAGGTGATTGAGTTCCCGAGGGGCAACAACAACGTGGAAGGGTGCAACTCACTCGTTGAGGATGTGCCGCTGGGGGCCAGGATGCTGGCGGCGATGGCCAACGCCAACAGGGCGGGGGGGCGGTGAGTCGTAGCCGCGGGGCCCCCTCTCAGCCACCCACGGCGCATGTTGTGCCGGCCAATTCCTATCGTCTTAGGCCCTTGATTTTGAAGCTCGACACGCTGGTTCCACCTCCTCTCTTTTTTCCACTTTTTGGGGGTATTGACCGTGCGAGGTCGTTGTGAGTAAGGCGAAGTTACGTACGGACCCGTGGCTCTGACATAGGACACGCCCGTATGTGTGCGTGCGTGCATAACTGTTTTATTGTTTTGGGACCCTTGCATGCCTACCATGTACTACTTCTGTGTGCTTGTGCCCGCGCGGCTCTTCGTTGAAAATGCATGACACACTTTGCGGCGTTGAGAGGAGACCGTGCTTGATGAGAGATGGTACCCTCTGTTGACTGATTTTTCAAAGGCTCCACATCCAAGCTTGTGCCAATAGCCAATAGCCAATAGCCAATACCAATAAATGGTGCTTTTGGAAATGAACCTAGCGTAGAACGAATGCTCTCTCTCCCCACCCACTTGGTTTTGGAGCAGTCGAGCTTTGAAGCGCGGTCAAGAGGGTGCGCCATCTCTCCCCCTCTTGCGGTACTCGAATAGTCTGCACTGTGACATACAGGCCACCCTCTGCTTTTGGTGGGTAGGTCTGCAGGGGACGAATTGAGTTTTTAGGAGGGAGGTGCTTTTTCCTCGGGGCGAGTTGGGCTTTGCGCGCGGTGTCTTCGTGCCACCTCCACAACTGAAAATGACGCCCAATGACTTGTGTTATTTTGGGCGTCGCTATATTCAATGTGCTGCTGGTCTTTTTTTTCAGCTGCTATTGGCCACCTTTCACACATTCTCCATATTTATTTTCTTTTTGAGACTCTCGTGCTACCTCATGGGAAGGCCTTGGAGATCTCCACCACCGCAACCGCTACCACGACACCACGTCGCCAACGACGCGAAGACATCCACGCGACTAATCTCCCCCTCTCCCCCGGCCCCCGTTTGCTTCGACCGCCGCCACCGCCGCCGCCGCCTACGTGCCTATTTGGTGGTAATTCTGACAGGAAGCTGCGCGTGTGGAACGACCCCATCAAGAGGAAGGAGAAGCTGGAGGTCTCCCTCTCCCTCAAGCAGTCGGTGTGGTTTACCAAAGAAGGCATCTTACCCTCCTCCTCCTCCTCCTCCTCCTCCTCCTCCTCCTCCTCCTCCTCCTCCTCCTCCTCGTCCGCGTCTCCATCGGCCACGTCGTCGTCGTCGGCGGCAGAGACCGGCGGATCAGGGTCACGGCCCCAGTCAGGGGCAGCAGCAGCAGCAGCAGCGGCGGCGGCGGCGGCGGCGGCAGGACCCCCGAAGAAGGAGAGGCGCAGGGTGGTGTATACTCCGGCCAACTCTGTGTCTGCGTCGATCGTGTACCAGGTGAGATTGGAGATTGGAGCGGTCCGCACACTCACTTGGACGAAGATTCACAGCGGTGTACCAACGTTGTTCGGTGATGAAGGCGCTTTGTGTCGATGTTGGGAACACAATAGTTTTTTTTTGTTTTTCCGGCCACGTCGTGGTGCTTGTATCAGAGGCATCCCGAAAATCGTCTCTTTGCGGTTGGAGACATGAAAGTCGTGGGAGCGATGCGACTAGCAGTCACGCGTAGCCCCCCTCTCCTTTCTCTTTCTGCACACACACACCCCGAACAAGGCGAAGAAAAGGATCCGAACGGCCAAAGCATGACACCGTAGAACATGAAAGTATCGGCAGGAGTGCCGCTATTCACACGGGCGTACAAGGCCCCGCTGGGAAGATGAGTTATATTTTATACTGAACCCCCCACCCAAAGAAACGGAAAGTAAGTTTTTTTCGATCGCTGAACGCCGACGCCGACGCCGCCGCCTAGCTTGTGTTTGTCGTATGTCCCTGAAACATCCGCCGTGATAGTCTGACGAGCGAGAACGGTCGTCCCTTCCATCGCACTCTGTCTCGGCTTTGTACGGTATGCCTATGGTCTTTCGTGGAATCAAGACTAGGTCAAGCAAAGAAACCTTGTCAGGAACCCCCCCCCCCCTCCCTACCCGCTTTTTTCCAGGGTCGCAACCGACACGTGTACGCCGTGGCCAGCGGCATCATCCAGCTGCCTCACGGCAACGCGATCTCGGAGGGGGTGACGGTGTTTCCGGTGGGGCACCACTGGGTCTGCCTGGCGCTGCTGTGCGCGGGGACGCCGATTTCGGAGCTTCCGAGCCACATGCATGCCGACCTGGACAATAAACAGGCAAGAGGGACGGGAGGGAGGAAAGAAGGGAAAGTTTGTTTTTGTGGAATCGCGAATTTGACATGTTTAACAGGGTGGTAGGTGTTTGTTTTGAAGCGACGAGGGAGGAAAGAGGAGTGACTGTTATTTTTGCAGGCGCGAATCTGATGTTTCAGAGGGTGGTTGGGATTAGTAAGAAGCCGCCTTTTTTTTTGCAAGATTGTTTTTGTGGAAGTGCGAATCTGATGATGTTTCACAGGATGGAGGGGTTTTGTATGGGAAACATTTTTTTCTTTCTTTCAATACGGCCGGGGACAGAGATTTTTGGAGGGATGTTGCAAGTCGAGCCGGTCGGCATGTTGGGTGAGCGGAAGGATGCAAGGAAGACCCGCGGCGTGGGTCGAGAGAGCTCGCACCAAAAAGTCGGAAGCAGGCACGCCAACGTGCTCATGACTTTTCATCTGGGGGATGGGAACAGACGCACGTATTTGTTCGTTATAAGATGGAACTGTTCTTTTTTTTTTTTCCGGTTGGCTGGCACCTATGTAGAAGACGGGAATGCTCGTTGTATGATGGTTGTGGTTTTGTTGTTCCTTCGGCTGGCTGTCGCCTATTTTGGAGAAGAGCAATCGCGTGGTGAAAGTTAAGGCTTGAGGTTGTCCTTTTGTTTCTCGTCTCTCCGTCTTCGGTTCCGTGGCGGCTCCCGTCCGTTCTGCAGATGGACAAGGCGATCGAATTCTCCAAAACTTTCTGGTCGACGTCCTCAACGCAGGAGCGCTGGGGGAAGGTGGACACTGAAGGCCTTAGGGCCATGCTGCGAGAGGCAAGTGAAGCAATTGTTGCCCCCCCCCCCCCCCCGCTCTGAATGGTGGTCTATTGTAGTAGATTATGTTGTGCGGGGTCGAGAAACCTCACTCCGCGCAAAGGGGATAATCGCACGTTGTGTTGACTTGGTCAAACACCCTCGAGGCAGTTACACAGAGCTTACAACTGTCTCTGGAAGTGAAAGCACCAGAAAATAAATTAAGTCATACGCAGCTGTCATCCGGACGCAAGGAAGTATGCACAAGATGCCGAACACCCTTAGCAGGATGCAGCGCACCCTTCATGCGACTCGCCGAATACCTCACGGCGCTTCGCGCTTGGTGATGTGAGAGCTTGGTCCGGTGAGAACCCGGTGTGCTCCGTCCCGGCTTTATAGGGATGCGAGGTCAATGGTCTAACGACTACGGCATGCACGACTATGAGTACACCCCCCCGCTCTAGCTGTGGATTCGGGTTCACCATTTTTCGGTCCCATGATCACCCACCCCTCTTTTCCGCGTTATTTTGAGTTAACCCTCGGGTGTGGGTTAGGCTCAACGGGAGTTGTGAACGAATAGATACGGTGTCATCACTATGGTTGCGGGTTTTAGGCAGATGCTTTCCCCAGGTTGCAAATGCCTCATTTCACCGGCCACCGCGTAACTAACTGTCTTGTGTTTTGGTTCTATACACCAGCGGATGATGGCGCCACTCGGCAAAATCGAATGGTTTTTTTCCATTGATAGAATTGTTCGGTAGGCCGGAGACACTAGTATTTGCCTTTTTGCTCCTTTTTTCTCGGTTCCGCGCTTTGCAATGTCGGCGCAATCGGTGAAATTGAAAATGGGAAAACGGCGGTGAAAAACGCCGCCAAATATGCATGCTTGACGCCCCTCCCCTTTGCGACAAACACCACGGTCACAGCGGCCGAGGTTTTTCTTCGCAGCAGTCTGATGAAAGCTGACGTATTGACGAGGTCCGTTGTTGTAGCTATAGCAGCAGTCGCAGACATGTTCCCTTTCTCTAGTAGTGGCATATCGATGAATGATACTGGCTTCCTCAATTTTTCGTCGGTCGCGATGGAAGAGTTGGATATACCGTACGATGCCATCGCTTCTCCTGTAGTAGGGCCCCTGTTCAAAGAAAGCTTTTTTGTCTCTGCTGGCAAGAGATGGGTCTCTTCACCAACAGGTCTCGCCCACGGCGACCGTACCATGCGATGCCATCCCTTCTCCTGTAGTATCGCCCCTGTCCAAAGAAAGTTTTTTTTTTTGTCTCTGCTGGCAACAGATCGGTCCCCACATCGATGCCATCCCTCCTCCTGTAGTATCGCCCCTGTCCAAAGATTTTTTTTTTTTTGTCTCTGCTGGCATTTTTTTTGTCTCTGCTGGCACGAGATCGGTCCCCACATCACCAAATCTTCTCCGAACTAACTCTCATTCCCCCCATTCTCCCCGTCTCCAGATATTCGACGACCGCGCCCTTGCAGAAGGCGGCGGCGGCGGCGGCGGCGGCGGGCTCTCGAAGAAGGATGCCAAGGACGGCCTTGCCGACGGGAAGGACGAAGTCGATGACGACGACGACGAAAACGACGAAGACGAAGACGAAGAAGAGCACGGCACGGGGGGCGGTAACGGCAGCGATAGCGGCAGCGATAGCGGCAACAGCGGCGACGGCTATGGCTCTGCTCCCGGGTCCGCGGCTACACCGGGCATGGTCGCCGAATTCCAGGGCGGCTTCGACAGCGCCTCCGACTACCGGGGCTCCCCCCTGGCAATCTTGAGGGAGGACCCGGGGCTGTGGAAGCTGGGGGAGAGGGAACCGGCGAGGGTAAGAGAAGCGGCGGCGGGGGTCGGTGCGGCGGCGGCGGCGGCGGCGGCGGTAGAGGCGGTAGAGGATCCGTTGAATGGGGCGAAGAAGAAGATGGAGATGAGCCCGGGGCTCGGACGGGCCCTTATGAGGTGGTCGGAAAGCCTGGGTGAGGCGGGCCGGGACATGGCGGCGCTGATGGGGCTGCAGGCGGTCGTGATGTGCATCCTCGGCGTGCACCGGCGGAACGCGCTAGCCGGGGTGGAGGAGACGGCGGCGGCGGCGGCGGCAATCATAGAGGAAAGCGTCGTCATCCCCTGCTGGTGAAGAAGGGATAGCCGCGGCGGGTAACAATGGCGGCATTGCGAAGTCCGCCGGGCAACAGCAAACGGCAACAGGTGTAGGGGAGAGCAGAGACGACGCTACTCCTCCAGAAGCGGTGGTGGCGGCGGCGGCGGCGGGAGACGGGGCTGCGCGAGGACGACCGTACGACGGGTTCGTGTACGGCGACCTAGCCCGCCTAGAGGCCGAGATTTTCACCGCCACGGGCGTCGAGGATGCCCTCCTCCATCTCTGCCCGGGCGGGTATGGCGGCGGCGCCTCTGGGGCGGGCAAAGGCGGCGTCGACGCCGCTGCCAAGAGGTCGTCCGTGCTCCGAGGCGTGCCGTGGCTGAGCTTCCTCGACGATGACGGCGACGGCGACGGCGCTGTTGGTGACGTCGAAGGGAGGCTCTTGGTGTGGCGACCGCCTGCGGTGGTCGCGGAGGCGCTGGACGCCGACCTTGACGCCGACCCGACGGGCTGGCTGTCCGGCTTCGGTGGCGGCGGTATTGATGGTGATGGTGGTGGTGGTGATGACAGTAGTGCGGGTGATCGGGGGGCGGAGGAAGGTTTAGATGACGTGGGTTCGGAATCGTGGCAGGGTGGCGGCGGCGGCGGCGGCGGCGGCGGCGGCGACAGAGAAGAAGCGGGGCGGCGGTGTCAACGGCAGCCCCCGAAGCACCCGTGCCTGGCGCAGTTCGAGACGTACCTGTCTCACCGCGACGACGTCGACTTCGCCGCCGGGCTTCTAAAGGCCGGCTTCTACCTCAGCTCGTACCTGGTCCTGGGA